AGGTGTTCAGTATACTGTCCTTTCAGATCTTATAGACATTCCACGATACAGAATACAGGGGAGGTTCTCTCTCCATAGTAGAATGGAGAAGGCTAGGCTTCTGAATTAATGAACAAGCGTGTTAAGTTTCACTTTTCTCTCATTAATTATGACTTTGGGCAAATTGTAACCTTCTTAAACTTTTTTTGTCACCCATAAAATGAACATAACAAGGGAAGTAACTCATAGAGTCCGCTTACCACAGTGCCTGGTACATGATAAGCACCTAATACATTTTAGCTATCAATAACAATAATAATCCGTTCTTCCAGATGGAAACTTTGTTATTGGGTGTCCCTCTCTCAATGGCTCATCTCCTCCCTTAGTGAGAGGCATAGTTCACCCGTCCCCAGATGACCGTCCTCAGCAAAAGTTTGCATCAGGATCTCTAACCAACTGAACTCCAACAGTTCTCAAAGGGAGAGAAGGTTCCCTGAGGGTGTTTGCAAATGGGGAGGGTGCGTATTGGAATGGGGAGGAGCATTTAGTGGGTTGAGTGGCCAGGATGTGAAATAACTTGCAATGCTCAGGACTGCCCTATACAGTGAAGAATTTTCCCACCTGAAACACTAATGTTGCTTTCACTGAAAAATACAGACTGCTCAGGAAATGTTTAGAGATGAAAGACAGCAGACAAAATCATTCCAATGAACAGGTCAAAGAGGTGAGCGACCCAAAATCAGTTAGGGAATCACCAGTACCTCCTTATGGTTTCTGGTGGCTCTGCATGGAAGGGAATCTGACCGGCTGAGGCCAGGGTGTCCCGCAAGGCCTTGCTGACCTCCTGCAGCTGACCCAGGGGCAGCCGGCCCACCAGCGGGGTCAGGTCACAGCCCTGCCACCGGAGTTGCTGCTCTTGCTCCTCAATTTCCTTTCTCAGCTGTTGATCTTTGGCTTCCAGCACAGACATCCTTGCTTGGAGAGCTTCAATTTCTTTCTGTAGAGAATGAGGAGACCAGATTTTATAAATTAACCTTGCTCATGGCAAACTGCTCTGAGGATAATGACTCATTTAAATGAGAATTGGCCATATGCACCAGAACCACGAAGCTCCCCTTCTGAGGCAGGCAGATTTTTGGAGTTTGCTGAACTGGAAAAATCATGCCAGCTTTATATTTCTAATGAGTTGGCATAAGGAAAAACATTCCCGCCCGAGCATTAAATAACCATGGGGGGTGAGCCAAGAATTTGACTTGGAAGAACCCAGCAGATATACAAATGACTTACTTCATTTCGGATGGGGGAGTTAGGACATGGGGCAGGGAGCGTCACGTACCTGAGGTCTCAGCTAAGCAGGTAACCCCAGCCACAGACCAAAACAAGAAACGCAAGTGACCATTTGTTGGTCTGTCCCCAAACACAAGAATTCAGAATAAAGAAAAAGTTAAAAAAATCATGGCTTCTTAAGTCCACAGGACTGAAAAAAGAATGAGATGCTGCAGATAGTGCCATGCAGTATAAAGATCATGAAAATACAAATAAATGTAATTTCTACAAATATAGCAAACTGGAATCCAAATAATCCATAAAATATCTAATCTTAGGGTCAACAAACTAAACAAGCAGCAGGCAACGAACACCCACTGTGTGCACAGCGTCATAGCAGATCATCATCTCACTGCCCATATGATTCTGAATCAAAAATAAGACTCTTCATTAACATAGTCTCGTGTTTTGTGCTTCTAACAGCTCAAATCTAACCCTGGGTGTCTCCTCACTTCTTATTCACGTTCTCTCAGCCCCAAGGTACATCACCTACAACTTCTACTGAGGAAGGAGACCCTTAATCTTCCTAAGCTTCAAAGACCACTTCCCCCTAGACTTCTACATTGCATTTCAATAGGAGAAGTAAAGGCTGACAGACCGGGGCACCACGCTTAATCGCACTCCTATAGATCACAGGCAGGGTGTGGAGGAATCTTTCCGGAAGGCATTGTTTTTGCTTAAACATGATCAAACCCCCACCTAGTCATGTACCCCATGCCTACTTCACGGATCAAGACCCTTTCACATATAATTTCTGAATTGTAAGCCTTTAAAAGGACAAGGATTTTCTTTGTTGGGGAGCTCAGCTGTTAAGGTATTTTCACCTGCCGCAGCTCCCGGCCAAATAAATCACCACTTCCTTCCCTGTTCCCTGATCAAGAGGTTTGTTTGGGGCTGCTCCTGCTTCACTACCTCCTGAATCCACTTCAATTATGGGAGTGGGGAGAGGAATGGGGAGTTACTAAAAAATGTCTACCACCAAGACATTCTAGAAAAAGGTAATGCCTCAGTGTCCCCGATTGCTCCAAGATTACACCATTACTGACAAAGTCTCTCAACTAACCTCCCTACCACCACCTTTGACTTCTCTACCCTACTCTTTTTTCTTTTAGTTTTTTTAACTGGTAAAATACACATAGCATAAAATTCACCATCTTGAGCATTTTTAAGTGTAGAGTTCAGTGGCATTAAGTACATTCACATTGCTGTACAACCATCACTGCCATCCATCCATAGAACTCTTTTCATCTTGCAAAACTGACACTGTACCCAATAAAAACTAATTCCCCATTCTCTCTTCCTCCAAGTCCCTAGGAATCACCATTCTACTTTCTCTATGAATTTAACTCCTCTAGGTAGCTCACCCAAGTGGAATCATACAGCATTTATCCTTTTGCAACCGGTTTATTTCACTTAGCATAATGTGCTCGAGGTTCATCCATGCTGTAGTGTGTGTCAGAACTTCCTTCCTTTTTAAGACTTAGTAATATTCCATTACATGTACATACACATTTTATCAGTTATCTGTTGATGAGCATTTGACTTGTTATCAGCTTTTGGCTATTGTGAATTATACTGCTATGAGCATGGGCGTATAAATATCTCTTTGAATCTCTGCATTCAATTTTTTGGAGATATATATATATATATATATACCCAGAATGGGGTGGCTGGACCACACAGCAAATCAATTTTTAAATTTTTTTTTTCTTTTTGAGACAGAGTTTTGCTCTTTGTTGACCAGGCTGGAGTGCAGTGGTACAATCTTGGCTCTCTGCAACCTCTGCCTTCCAGGTTCAAGTGATTCTCCTGTCTCAGCCTCCCGATAGCTGGGATTACAGTGACCCGCTACCACACCCAGCTAATTTTTGTATTTTTAGTAGAGATGGGGTTTTACTATGTTTGCCAGGCTGGTCTTGAACTCATGACCTCGGGTGATTTGCCCACCTCAGCCACCCAAAGTGCTGGGATTACAGGCGTAAGCCACCGCACCTGGCCCAACTTTTAATTTTTTCAGGAAGCTGCATACTGTTTTCCATCTTGTCTTATATCCTATTCCTAATACAGTAGTCAAATTATTGACAATGTGGTCGGATCCTGTCACTTCACTGCTTAACACCATCCAGTGGTTCCCTGTTGCAACCTGAGAAAAATCCAAATCCTTTCCAGGCCCTTTAATCTCTGACTTTCTCCCCAAATTTACACTGCTCCAGCCACATGGGCCTCCAGCTGCCCTCTGAACACAAGAGGCCCACTCGCACTCTAAGCCTTCATGGTGTCCCCCTGCCCAGGATGCTCTTGCAGAAATTTCTGCAAGACCTACTCCCTCTCCTCTTTCAAGGGTTGGGTTCGATCTCACTTCTCTTAGCCCACTCTGCGTAGCTCTTATCACCCTACAACATACCAGAAAGCTAATTGAGGTATTTATTGTTTATCACTTATTGTCTATCTCCCCATTCTCACCCCCAATAGCTCAAAAGCTCCCCAAGAATCCCAAGCATTTCAAACAGTCTCTGGCACTTAGTGAACCCTCAATAAATGCCTGTTGAATAAATGAATATTCAAGTACCTTTCCCCAAAGTGCTTCAAACACTAAGTGCCTGGGGCTAAAATTATATTCTCTACACTCTGACATTCTCAGGAATTGTGTAGACCTTTAATTGGCAAATGTTATTAAAAACCAAAAACCAGATTTCACATTTTCAGCTATCCAAACATGATAATGATGCACATTGACTATGTGAGTGCTGTTATGGGGAAATCATTTCAAATAAATTGCCCTGACTTTTGCCTTTCTTTGCCACCTTATTCTTGTAGTGACCTAAATGGGGCAAATTCAGATAACAAAAACACTCTATGGTGGGAGCAAAGAGGGGGAAGCCTCAAGCCTAAGCCAGGATTTAGACTTGGACAGAAGATCTATGCTCTTCCCATGAAGTCACGTTACTTCTAATCAATGTGTCCTCATTGCTCCCCACCCATGCTTCACTGCTCCAGGCCCAAGCAGGCACAGACCCTGTTTCAAGATTCCCTGCCTCTGGGGTGCCCTGTCAACTTCCACAGCTCTGGCTTTATCTCGGCGCTGCACCCAGATCTGTAGCCCCTCAATGATTCTTTTTTTTTTTTTTTTGAGATGGAGTTTCGCTCTTGTTACCCAGGCTGGAGTGCAATGGCGCGATCTCGGCTCACCACAACCTCCGCCTCCTGGGTTCAGGCAATTCTCCCGCCTCAGCCTCCTGAGTAGCGGGGATTACAGGCACGCGCCACCATGCCCAGCTAATTTTTTGTAGTTTTAGTAGAGACGGGGTTTCACCGTGTTGACCAGGATGGTCTCGATCTCTTGACCTCGTGATCCACCCGCCTCGGCCTCCCAAAGTGCTGGGATTACAGGCGTGAGCCACTGCGCCTGGCTCGAGAATCGCAATTTTTTTTTTTTTTTTTAAGATGGGGTTTCACCATGATGGCCAGGCTGGTCTTGAACTCCTGACCTCAGGTGATCCACCCACCTCAGCCTCCCAAAGTGCTAGGATTACAGGCGTGAGCCACCACGCCCGGCTTTGATGATTCTTAACCAACTTCGATGCACTGTTTGCGGCCAACCCTGGGCTTCCACGCAGCCGTCCCATCATTCCAGGTGTGCCTGCCTCACTCCTCTGGACTTACAACTCTCTCTCTTAACAACTGTAGTTCACCGTCTACCATGATAGGGATTTCCATAAAGGATTTTCACAGCACAGATGACTTTCTGCCTTTCAAAGGAAGCTTCTAAAGGTCAAAATGATAAGAAGTGGCAAACTGGCCTGGCAGACAAGAAAAGCATATTCAAAAGGTAATGAGGAATATCGAAAACAGGCTCAAACGCTGCTGAGCTTTCAACCCTCATTTGTAATGAGATTCCTACAAGCCCTCTAGTCATTCCCACCATCTCTCAGTTTTGTACTCCCTGGCTTGACAGCCAAGGCTCTAATTGCCACACTCGAGCAAAGCAAAACCCCATTTGGCTGCATTTGGCTTAAATGGATAAGAAAAATGCCGGCTGGGCAAGGTGACTCATGCCTGTAATCCCAGCACTTTGGGAAACTGAGGCAGGAGGATTGTTTGAGCCCAGGAGTTCAAGAGCAGCTTCAGCAACATAGTAAGACCTGATCTCTACTAAAAATAAACAAAGTTAACCAGGCATGAGGGGCATGCCTGCAGTCCCAGCTACTTGGGAGGCCGAGGTGGGAGAATCACCCAGGAGCTGACTGCGCCACCACCCTCCAACCTAGGCAACAGAGTAGGACCTTGTCTCAAAGAAAAGAAAAATGCCACCATATTTCTTGAGTATCTTTCACCTGCTCACCTGTAATTGCTGCTTTTCTTGAAGAAGCCAATCTCGTCTCGTGATGGACACGTGCAAGTTGTCCTGAGCAGTGGGTTCCAACAGCCTGGGCTCCATTCTGAGTGGGGCCTGGGTGTCATCTCCGCTGGCCCTTAAAATAACACATACCTATTGGTACAGGTACGGGGAAGCTGAAATCCTCATGTTGACAAGAATTTTAGAGTAAGAAACTTCACCAACTCACCCCCAGCTGTTCTCATCCTTAGAAGGGTACCCACCTGTTTTCAGGATGAGCTCTTTAATGTAAGTTTCTACCTTAATTACAATCTCTTGGGGATTTTCCTTTTTCACCTGTTTCTTATTAATTTGGGGGGACTATAACCAGACCTTTATTCAAATGATTAGGAGTGCTGAATTCACTCTTACTATTTCTGAAATTCACCAGTTCCCTTACCTTTACGCCATCTACCTTTCCTCTGCTCATTTAGAATCTTCCACTTTGCACTAATATTTGAGTCACTCGTCAATGAGAGGTTGTCACTGAGGGTTTCAGAAGATTTGCTCCCATGATCAGCTTTAATCACAGGGAAATATACTTCTTGCAGAGACTACATCACATTTTTTTTATTCCCGGCACTTATCACAGGGTTGAACTTAATAAAATTAAGCGAAGAGTTCTAGAAAATGCAGCTGAGCTCCTGGCAGCGTTTTCATCTATTTCCTGAAATTTTCACTGGATTAACTTTCTCTTTTTTTTTTTTTTTCCAAAATGTTTTCTCACTAGGATGCCCAGGCTGGAAAGCAATGGCACAGCCTTGGCTCACTGCAACCTCCGCTTTCCGAGTTCAAGCAATTCTCCTACCTCAGCCTCCTGAGTAGCTAGGACTACAGGCATGCACCACCAAGCCTAACTAATTTTTGTATTTTTAGTAGAGATAGGGTTTCACTGTATTGGCTAGGTTGGTCTCGAATTCCTGATCTCAAGTGATCCTCCCTCCCCTGCTTGCCAAAGTGCTAGGATTACAGGTGTGAGCCACCACACCCAGCCCTTAATCTTTTTTAATGTGGCTACTAGATCATTTAAAATCATGTATGTGCCTTGCACTAGATTTTATCCAAACAGGGCCAAATACCAGGGCTGACCTTGATGGAGATTAAAAGGAGGGGTAACTGATTTGCAGATGCTTGGGTGCCAGATTCTCAGAAAAGATTGCTAAAAGACTGTCAAAACCACTTAAAACCTGTTAGGCTCCTTCGCTTATTCTTGCCAGAGTTGACATATTTGGTGACAGTGATGCTGGTGAAAATGTGGCACAGGCTTGGACCTTACGTTGGTGAGCTGTCTTTACAGGAGACTTGGTGGGTTTTGTCACCAAAGAATGACAAATTCATCCTTAAAACATTCCATTTCTAACTCAATGCAGGTGGGAGGAAAAACAATTTACCCTAAGCAAAACTACGTCAACAATTCCAAGAAGCTATGTCTAAGAAAACATCATCAACTAAAACTAAAAGGCAAATGACGAGTTGAGAAAAATATATTGCCACACATATGGCAGAAAAAAAGGATAATATTGCTAATTTAGAAGAAGTTCTATCAAATTAAGAAGGAAAAGACACGTGGACCAGCCAGAAATTCCAAAAGAAAAAAAAAAGTATTACGGCTGAGCGTGGTGTTGCACACCTGTAGTCCCAGCTGCCTGGGAGGTTGAGGCAGAGAATTGCTTGAGCCTAGGAATTTGAGACCAACCTTGGCAACATAGCAAGACCATCCCCAACCTCAAAAATAAGTGAAGCAAAACAAAACACCAAAAATGAATTGCAACGTGTTAAGGAAAATGATTATCATCCAAAGATGGCTTTAAATGCAAATCCAAACAACATAAAATATCATCTTTCACCTAACAAACTGGCCTGGCAAAGGTTTTCCAAACCATAAGTCTTCGGTGAGAGTAGGGAATAAGAATGAGACTTAAAATTAAATATAACTTGGGATTCTACATTCCCACATCTAAGTACTGATTGCATGTAAATAATCATAGTTTTTTTTTTTTTTTGGTGGGGGGAGGGGGGGGTTGGTTTGTTTTTTGTTTTGTTTTGTTTTTTTGAGACAGAGTTTCGCTCCTGTTGCCCAGGCTGAAGTAGAATGGTGCGATCTTGGCTCACTGCAACCTCTGCCTCCTGGGTTCAAGCGATAAGCGATTCTCCTGCCTCAGCCTCCCTAGCTGAGATTGCAAGCACCCACCACCATGCCTGGCTAATTTTTGTATTTTTAGTAAAGACAGGGTTTCACCATATTTGGCCAGGCTGGTCTCAAGCTCCTAACCTCAGTGATCCCACTCGCCTCGGCCTCCCAAAGTGCTGGGATTACAGGCAGGAGCCACCACACCCGGCCTTCATCATCACAGTTTTACACAAATATTACCTACAAACACCATCTTTTTTCTTAGTAGCCCAAGACTGGAAATAATCCTACCCCAGCATCAGGACCTCTTAGCAATGCTAAGTAGCCACTAAAATTAGGTCACACAAGAAGATACATTGACCTGGAAATGTTCACTATTTATTGCTACATTTTCTAAAGCAGGCTTTATGGCAAAATGTATAAACCATTGTAAAAATATTGTTAGCATGTATATAAAATTTAAAAAATATATTCACCAAAATGCTATCAGCTCTTATCTCTGGGTGGTGGGATCACTTCTTTCAGCTGATCTTTCTAAAGTTTCTGTAGTAAGCATGCATCATTTTTACAACTGTAACATAAAATGTTTGCCAACACACACTAAGTAGCTGCACTTTTGATTTGAATATTTTAACACAGCCAATCAGTCTTGTAGCTCTTGAACATGCCTGAGTTTTAAATAAATCACATCAGTAACCTCATCTTCAAGGTCATCTTCCCTTGCAGAGGAGCAGATTGTCTGTAGCTTCTGACACTTGCAGGCATAAACTCAGTATCCTGAAAGGGCCAAATTAAACCTATCCCCTCCTCCCGTGGAATCTCCCACACAGCTAGATCTTGTCTGCCACCTTTGTACTTATTTCAGGGCTCAACGAGGAGACGCGTGAAGCTGCATGTTCTTATTTATATATTAACACAGGGTCGCACTACCTCCGCATTTCTTAGAAAAGAAAATGAGTAACTGATCCTAATATATGTTGTGCTATGTTTGTCTCCTTTCACTCCTACCGCATTTCATTCATTCATTCAGAAAAAGAAAAAAACATTACTGGGCTCCCCTGCTATGTACTATGGATTGTGCTTGGCGCTGGGGGCACAATGGTGAACAGGACTTGTTCTTCCATGGAGCAGGGGAGACAAATGCATCAGCAGAAAAATTGCAAGGCAGTGAAGAAATGGGCAATGCAAGGCACAGACCAACAACGGTGGACTTTAAAGCTGGGGGAGACTCTCCCCCTTGCTGAGTCTTAACTTACAAAATAAGTGAACAATACACTTGCAAAATAAGTGAACCGACCAAGCATGGTGCAGTGAAGCAGGCTTTACATTTTTAGAAACAATACTGGAAAATATGTCACCTCAGCTTTTCTAAGATAGAAAATAGCAGTTACAGAAAAAGGAACCTTACTTTTGTTCCTATGTCTAACACATCAGATTCTCTGAATAACCCTAATGGTCACTTATTGTAACGTAAGATGCAATTTAGAAATCTATTCCTTGTTTCATGTGTTTAAAGGCAAATAGTGGCCAGGCGTGGTGGCTCGCAGTCCTTTGGGAGGCCGAGTCAGGCAGATCATGAGGTCAGGAGATCGAGACCATCCTGGGTAACACGGTGAAACCCTGTATCTACTAAAAATACAAAAAATTAGCCGGGCGTGGTGGCATGCACCTGCAGTCCCAGCTACTCGGGAGGCTGAGGCAGGAGAATCAGTTGAACCCTGGAGGCAGAGGTTGCAGTGAGCCGAGATAGCACAACTGCATTCCAGCCTGGGTGACAGAGCGAGACTCTGTNAAATAATAATAGCAGCATAGCAGCAGCAACAAAAATCGTTAAACTGATAAAATAAACCACTATGAATTGAGAATGTTCTGTATACCAGAAGATGAAGACGCTATTATGCCAGTTTTACTGATGAGGAAACCAAGTCCCAGGGGGTCAGAGTCTAGCCCACGGCCACACAGACAGCAGGAAGCAGAATTTAGGAGTCAGTGCAGATCAGGCTGAGTCCCAGTTCCAGTTCTTTCCCAGATACTACATGTCATTAGGTTCTCAGCAAGCCCAGGAACTTCCATCTCCCCTGCCTTCCAGTCACCATCCACACACATCCATTGTTGGAGTCCTCTTGCTGGCTCTCAGCAGGGTAGTACAACGTGGGGAGTGCACGGGACGTGGAGATAGAGGCCACCCTTTGGGTCTTGGTTCTGCCTTCTTCATGCTGTGTCGCTGGACTTGCCTAATCCCTCTGAATCTTACTTTCTTTGCTTTTAAAATGAGAATGACAATGACGACGACAAGAATGCCTTCCCTATGTAGCGAACTATGGGAACAAATCGATTTGACAAACGACCTCGGGGCATCTACTGTTTACAGACCCCATCCTCACACTGGGGCTGTTTGGGGATGGAGACAGAACTAACTTCCTCAAGAAGCTTGCGTTGGTTGATCTCCCCAGCATCTCAATATTGCATCAGGAAAACAAATACTGCACTCCTCTCCAAAATACCCACTTCCTATACAGAGTAACAAAAATGAAAGGGGTGGGCCAGGTGTGATAGCATAAGCCCGTAATCCCAGCACTTTGGGAGGCCAGGGCAGAAGGATCACTTGAGCTCAGGAGTTCTAGTACAGCCTGGGCAAGACAGTGAGACCTCATCTCTACAAAAAAATTAAAAATTAGTCAGGCATGGTGGCACGTACTTGTAGTCCCAGCTACTCAGGAGGCTGAAGTGGCAGGGTCAGTTGAACTCAGGAGGTAGAGGCTACAGTGAGCTATGATCATGCTGCTGCACTCCAGCCCGGGGAACAGGACAATTAAGAAGGAAGGAGGGAAGGAAGGAAGGAAGGAAGGAAGGAAGGAAGGGAGGGAGGGAGGGAGGGAGGGAGGGAGGAAGGGAGAGAAGGAGGGAGGGAAGGAAAGAGAGAGAAGGAAGGAAGGAAGGAGGGAAGGAAGGAAGGAAGGAAGGAA